TTTTTTTTTTTTTTTCGCGCGATCGTTGCACCATCGAGAAGATTCTCGCGTTGGAGCGTAAGAAATCGGCGTGTGTATCAGGATTTGATATCATTCGCGTTTATTACTAACTATCAGCGTTTGTTCATTAATGTCTGTGTAATTCTGCTGAGATCAAGAGATCAATTCATTGAGATCACCGAGTGTTTCACGAGTTAACCAGCAGAGTAAATTGTAAAAATAGTGTGAAGGTTCTAAGGTAAACAAAGGTAAATGATGTTTGAAAGAGAAAAAAAAATTAGAGAAATAGAAATCTCTTCTCTGCTATCCCATCTCTCTCGTGTGAATTCTTACTTTTCCCAGTGCCTTAACATTCGTACGTTATATCACTAAAGTAAAATGTCTGACAATAATAAATGATCTTTGCATATTTCCTAGCAGCAGCGTATAGAAAATATTAGCGCTGTACGACTGCAACTTCAGAACAGTAGTTAACAATTGTAGAACACAATTGACTACCAATAGATATGTATAATATTACTGTAACTCGCACAATATTACTGATTGAAAGATCAGGCTGACTAAAAGCGATTAATGTTCGAGTGCAAATTCAGAATAATATACTCAACGAATTGTGGAACTCAATTGACTATCAATAGACACGTATAATCTCCTATCGATATATACTAAACAACATTGACACCATTTCGTAATCCGACAAAGAACAAGGTTGATTTATTGCACAGAGATATAGCAAGAATCTTAATAATTCCAGCGTTGACACATATTATTTAACAACATTCTTACGTCACTGAATACTTGATAATTTCTTCGTAATTTTACTAATCGGTTTTAATAGACCTAGAGAGAAAAATCCTAGAAATTATAGACAAATATATCAACACGTTCGAGGTGGTGTGTCAGTCCGTGCGGACCGACACTTCGTTATTTGTTCAGTTGGCGTCGGTCCCGCGGGACCGACACTTGCAATGTTCGTTTTGCCGGTGTTGGACACTTTATTAATATAAAAGATACATGTTCGGTTCGGTCTCGAACGTGTTAACAAAATTTGCCCGTTTTTTTCCCCACAAAACTCTATGATATATGTATAAATACGCATTAGAAAATAGTAGTTCACGTTCGAATCTTGCCCGCGAGATCGCGTTTCACGCGGAATTTTCCTGGCACAAGTGAAAACGCGTTTCTGCGCGCCTGTGCATCATCGTTCGTTTCCAGAAGAGGAGAGAATAAAAAAAAAAAAAAAGATGATTTACAACCGGTCGAATTTGCGCGAAAATACTGTTTTAACGACAAGGAAGCTCGACGATTACGACGGCATTCGATACCAGACGTTTTCTCGACGTTTCTCTGTCTCGTTTCGATGACTATGATTATTCGAAGTTTGACGATTTAATTTCTTTTTAAATTTATCGCGCCCGAAACTTCCACTGGGAGATATTTTGGTCAGCGAAAATGAATCCAAGATCAGAGGAACATAGCGCGAGGCAGAGAATTAACTCTATACTCTATGTATTTATCAGTTAATCCTATGCTTGATAAATTTTTCATGTTTACTTTGAAATTTACGCATACTGAATTGTTATTATTATTGGTAAATATTTTTTCAGTCAGCGAGCTCAGTCTCGAGCGAATTCAAATAAAAAATTCATCGACAAAATTATGTTGTAGTAATGGAAAAAAAAGGGAGAGAGAGAGAGAATTACAAGTAACGTTGTAACGTAAGAACGAGAAGCTTCATATACACTGTGACCGTACTTTAACCTCGAGCCTTATCTATCCAGATAAGAACAAAGAACAAGAAGTTCGTTCCCTGCCTAAAAGCGTTCTAATGACGATTTCGTTTGACACAGTTAAATGAAATTAATCTGCGTAGTTATTTGATTGACTTTCCTGAATTTGTCCCACTTATTCGATGCAATTTATGATACGCTCGTGTTCTACTATGTATTTGTACATCGTGTATTAATGACGTAACGTGACCCTATACTACTTGTCTGATACAACCTACGTGCGACCTACACTACTTGTTCGATATAAATGATGATGCACGCCCTGTGCATGCCCTATAAAACTTGTATATCGGGCCATCAGGTAGTTCTATACCACTTATCTGACAATCTGACTGTGCTGATGCACAGTGTCTGACTTATACTACTTGACGACGGTCTGTGTTTGTCTTGTACTACTCATTTTCAACTGATACAAAGTGGCTACAAAAGGTATTCCCATGTCATACATATATATACATATATATATTTATAAGTATAACACAATAAAAATAACAGATATAATAACATAAATATTTACACATGCAACAAATTAAATTAATACTAATATTCATATCGGTTTTTTTTTTAAATTTAATATTAAGCTTAGTATATGTCATATCGACGTTAACATTAATTGTAACAAAATATATACAAATGTTTATGTATTTACATGTTAATTAATTAGGTTCAATTTCTGAAGCAATCGTTTGGCGATTGTTTCATCGCGATTAAAATTTGACACTACGAAAATGAAATATGGAATCTGATGAAAATACGTTTTATCGAAATATTATAAAACGTTACCACTGGGATGTGCTTTTTGTAGCCACTTGGCAGAGTACATAAAAACGACTCCAATGACGTGTACAAGAGTTAGACGAAGGAGAGAAAAATAACGATTCTAAAAATATAAATATTGCCTATCTATATGAAAGCAATGCTCCGATTACTGAAATTCGTACGCTTCTTATCACTTCTGCATTAATTGCGCTACTGCTTGCCACGCGTTTCTTCTATATCATATCGAACATTTTTCACGCTTGAAGATTGATCAAAGAACGATCGTGTATAATATTATACAAGTTACCATCCATCCATTAATAACCAAGCTTTTTGATCTATCACGATGTTGTTTCTTTGATGAAATTTTTATTTAAAAAGGAAGAAATAAAGAAAAACCGCAAAATTATGGATAACGAAGGAGATAATAACGAGAAGGCATCAAGCTTTTGAAATCCTCTCTCACAGCCTCTTTAATCCGTTAAAGACCAAGTAATAATTTATTGCGATCTTTACACCTTATCTTTTGTATTTGACTAAATGTCAAAAATAAAAAAAAAAAAATGTTCGACTGCAAATAAATTAAAAACTCAATAAAAAACAACTAGTACAATTAAATGAACAAGCAAGTTTAGTCTTTTAACAAATTGAATCGAACGAATTTCCAATTGACCGTCAATGAACCAACCAATTATAATATCCGAAATCTCCGAAGCGAAAATCGGGAGAAGAAAAAAAGAAAACGAAGACTGGCGAAGAAAGAAAACGAACCTATTACCATTGCGTTCCCCGAGTGTGTTTCTCTGCTCGACGTTCGCATGCGTGTTTACCGTGCTCGCGTTTGCACGATCCTGCCAAATATAACCAAGAAGCGTTAAAACGCGTGCGCAACGATCGCCTCATAAAAGCGTGGAAAGCTCGAGGGGGCTAGTCGTCGCTAGCAGCCGCGATTAAATGTTAACGCGAGTGGCTGGTCAACTAAACGCTTTTGCCCGCTTGCTTTCTGCCTGTTCCATCGGCTCGTATCGTGTCACCGTTGCCACCGCCATGGCAAAAGGCCAACCGAAAACAGGCACACGCGTAGGCGAATCGCGTGTTGTACGGTAATGTTCTTGCTTAGGTGAGTTTCATCCCGACATCTGTCAACGACGTACCTCACCCTATATCCTCCCATGAGATGTACGTTAAACGCAGATGTGATGATCCTATTGCACGATTACCGGGGAAAGATGACATTTGTCGAGATACACAATCGAGCGTACACAATTCGAACAATCTCAAAAGTCCACGGATTGATCGGCGATTGTCAC